TGTGTGTGCGTGTAAATGACCTCCAATCTCCACTCAGGGATAGTCCCTCAGCATTTGAAATGCCCTGATCAGGAACCCCTCTCCAGAGGGGCCACGTTAGCATTGTAAATATAGACTGTTATTAAAAGCCGCACTCGAGTCTGTTCATTAGCGAAGGGATGTTAGAGGTCCTGCACGCCCCCTTCCCCGCCTTGGACGGACAGGTCCAGGGGGATGACGGTGTTGGTCCCTGTTTGCTAGCAAACATTTGAGCATTTGGCAGAATAAGACCTGCTTCTGTTGTAATATTCCCTCTGGTGGCAAGGTTGTTGAGGGGCCATGGAGCCGCTGCCTGCCTCTAATTGGGGGTGCCACATTTTTATGAGAAAACTGTCCGTTAGGACACATGCCCAATGCCGGGTGGTGGAGCCTGGCTGGGACCCAGGTCTGAGTGTGAACCTGCACCCTGACCACTGCGCCACACTGCCTCTGATTCGTTCCCATGTGTCTCAATCCTGCCAGAGTGAGGCAGGAAGCGGGGCGCCTGGCATGGAAGTTTTGCTGGGCCCGCCAGCTCTGTCTTAGGTGGTGTCGGTCTGACAATCCCTTTCACAAAACCAACTCTGAAATGCAACCTATTTTTCCAGGGGAGCGGGTGGCTCACTCTAACTGGCTGCTTGACCCATCAGCCTCGATGTCACGTGTCTCTCAAGAGCGATGACGTATTTCTCACTGGCAGGTATGCACCTGCGGCCACACTGCCTGCTATTATTCTCTGGATTGAGGTGTCCTCTGCGGGAAGGCGGGGACCTGCCTCCTCTGACCCCCTCTGCAGGCACCCAGAGCCTGCAGGCCCCACGCGTGTTGAGCAAACACGTGGTTACTTGCCAGGAGGGGAAAGAGGAAACCCCACCAAGATCCCAGGGGCCAGGCTGAGGGGGACCCTGCCAGAGGCAGCCACGTGGCTGCCAATCTCGGGGTGCCTTTCTGAGAATCCCCACAGGAGCTGCTCCTCTACCCACGCCCTCCCGATCACCTCTCCATGAGGGAGCGACAGATCTCTGGGTCCTTAGTGCCCACACATCACGGAGCAGGGAGGGAGGGCAGCGGGGCACATCCAAGGGAATGAAGGATTAGCCAGACCCGGGCGCACGGAGGCAGGACTCCCCTTTAGGACCCAGCCGGGTGTCCCATAGTGCAAACAGCCCCCCAGTTCTCAAAGTGTGGCCCCCCAGACCAGCAGCACCAGCAACGGGCGGTGAGGCCGGCAATCTGGGTGAACAAGCCTCGGGTGACGCGGACACCCACAGTCTGAGAGCACTGGTCTAGGCCAGTTGCTTCCACACATTTCCACACCTTGAGAAACCCCTTCAGAGACTCCGACCAGATGCCACAGGCCGGAACGGAGGTGCTGGGAGCGACGCGCGGGCTGGAGGCTCGCCCTGCTCCGCTCCGGCCTCCGAGAAACACTCCTCGACATGCCCGGCTGGCCATTCTGCCCAAGGCTCCCCCTGGGCACAGCACTTCTCCGGGGGAGACCAGGGAACGACACCCCAAGCAAGAGAAAGGGTGTCACAGGAGGAAGAAGAGACCTAAGGTGAAACGAAAAAGAACAGAAACAGAAGCAGCAACAGGTCCACACAGGGAGGCGAGCACATCAGGAAGCGTGTTTAATTGGCTGACATGGACGACATACAGAGTAGCACGAGGAGGCCGGCGTGCCCCTGGCCCTGCCCCCCCGGGGCCTCGCCCTGCCCCCTCCGGAGACACAGCCAGCGAGTCAGACAGGACTGCACCCCAGGAAGAGGCCGAGGGCTGGGGGGCGAACAAAGAACACGCCGCAGCGGGGAGCACTGCCTTTCTGTGTTTTGGGTAAGAGTTCCCCAAACTCCTTTCCTAAGCTGCAGGCTCCCATGGGGGTGCCAAGCCCGTCCAAGCCCTGCACTGGCCGCTCAGTTCCGCTCCTACCACGCCCTGAGGTGGGCATTCTCACCCCCACCTGAGGGATGAGAAACGGAGTCCCACTGAACCGAAGTCACTTGCTCAGCATCCGGGGCAGGTCCCGCTCCAGCAAAGAGCCGGGAAATGACCATGGACAGCCG